GTCGATCTTGGTGAGGTCGTGAACCCTGTCGACAGTGTAGCCTTCGTGGAAGAGCGCCTGCCCGACGGCGAGCCATCGGCGATCGGTGGGGTTCTTGAGCTCTTCGTCCAAGCTCTCGCCGTATTTCTCGCCCTGGAACCCGAGGTACTTGGGGTCGACTTGACGGCAAGCTTTCTGGAAGGACTCCTCGAATGTACGTCCAATGGCCATGACTTCACCGACAGACTTCATGGAACTGCCGATGTCGCGCTTGACGTTCTGGAACTTGCTGAGATCCCAACGGGGCATCTTGGTGACAACGTAGTCCAAGCTGGGCTCGAAGTTTGCGGTGGTGGTCTTGGTGACGGCGTTGGGCAATTCAGGAAGAGTATGCCCAAGACCAATCTTGGCCGCGGTGTACGCGAGTGGGTAACCAGTGGCCTTGGACGCCAATGCAGATGAACGAGAGAGACGAGCGTTGACTTCGATGACCCTGTAGTCGAGACCATCTGGCTGCAGGCAGTATTGCACGTTGCACTCGCCAACGACTCCCAAGTGACGGACAATCTTGATGGACGCAGACCGGAGCATGTGGTATTCCTCGTCGCTGAATGTCTGACTGGGCGAAACGACGATACTGTCACCAGTGTGCACACCAAGAGGGTCGAAGTTCTCCATGTTGCAGACCGTGATGCAGTTGTCGCTTGCGTCGCGCACAACCTCATACTCAGCCTCTTTCCAGCCCTTGAGGGACTTCTCGACCAAGATCTGGGGTGAAAGTGTGAGGGAACGAGCTGACAAGTTCTTCAACTCCTCTGGGTTGTTCGCGAAACCTGAACCGAGACCACCGAGCGCATAAGCAGCACGGACGATAATGGGGTATCCGACCTTCTCGGCAGCGTCCAGTGCCTCGTCGACAGTGGAAACGGCAATCGACTTGGCGATGGGAATGTTGATCTCGTCGAGAGCGCGCGCGAAGAGGTCACGATCTTCACTGGTCTTCAAAGTCTGGACGCTGGTTCCGAGCACCTTGACGCCGTACTTCTCGAAGATACCCTTGGCATCCATCTGTACACCAAGGTTCAGCGCAGTTTGTCCACCGAAGCTGAGGAAGATGCCATCGGGCCTCTCCTTCTGGATGACATATTCGGCGTATTCGGGAGTTACAGGCAGGTAGTAGATCTCGTCGGCGAGCACGTGGGATGTTTGGATGGTAGCAATATTAGGGTTGAGAAGAACAGACTTGACGCCAGCTTCCTTCAGGGCCTTGAGTGCTTGGGAACCTGATACTTGGTTAGCGCGCAAGTTTGCGTGTGCATGAGAATGTATGCGCACCTGAGTAATCGAACTCTCCGGCTTGACCAATGCTGAGACCACCGCTACCAATAACTAGGACTTTCTTGACATCGACCAAGTTCTGCGCGCCAGAAATGACGCCGCTCTTCAGGTATGCCTCTGCATTAGGCGCAGTCTGTGTCTTATTCCATGTCGACGCGACCTTTGTGAATGCCCGCAGCTGCCGGAGGGCGGCAGGTGACTCTGTGCTGGAGCGGAGCGAAGTCAACGGCCGAGCACTTCGGGTTGTGAAACTTCGAGAGTATGTGGAAGGAGTAACAGAGCGGGTGTGACCTGTAAGGGAAGGTACGCGACGTGCTAGACGTCCGCAGAGAGCCATTTGCAGGCAGTCAAGCAACTGGGTAGCTTCGGGCTCGACAAAGGATGAGGATGGAGGATTAGGCGTCGAACGCGCGGGAGGAAGGTCGCTCGGTGGCCGACGGGTGCAATTGAAGGCTTATAGCTCGACCCAGTTGAGCAGAGCACGAATGACTCCCTCCGGGTTTATGTATAATCTGTGGGGAAGATGTGATGCGGCAGCCAAAAAATTCCAATGATGCGCGACGGGCCAATCAAGCTATCTCCGATAACGCACAGATAAGACCGTCGGCGATCCTGGGAAACGGGAGGGATGAAGCGTGGTATGCGGTCATTTACTGCCTCTATTTAATTCGCATTTCTTCAAATTGATCCACTCATTATACGCGACCCAGTCACAAGTACGCCCGGTGTAAATGCGAATTGCTCTGTTTGCTACCATATTGTCGCGAGCAACATCGTGCGGAGCACCGATTGCGGCGCCGAAACTCTGATCCCCAGCATTCTGGCACGCAAGCACGGATGAGAAGAAATTTTGACATGGTCGTGCAGAGCTTTCTCCATACAGTCACACTAGCGCGTCGCGGAAGTCATTGCATTACTACTTTCAGCACCATGCGCCTCTTCTTAGTAGTCATACATCTGTGAGGACGGGTAGCACGAGTCGTGACACTCTCAGACGTACACTCGTTGTAGTAGAGCATGCCGACAACTCGCGCCCTCCACGACCGCTTACTTTGCGGTCTCTACAATCACGTATCCACAAGATGCCAACATTGAACTATCCCAGTATCACATTGTGCCAATACGCTAATTCGCTTTGTGGGGTCTTCGGACCGTTGGTGACTCCTCATGCTTGGGCCGGCACGATGAAGAAGCCTGGCGCGTTTCTGCCACGATCGCAGCACTCGTGTGCTTCTGCGCACGAGCAGGTGTATGACTGTGCCTCTAGCCGAACTTCCTCATCATGCCTTCTTTGCCTTATCTGCCTTGTCTGCAGCGGTGTGCCGATTCTTGTATTCGCGTGGGCTCTCCAGTGTCTTACTACTGGCGCCGCCCATCCTCTGTATGAAGTTTGGCTTCGACCACATCCCGACCCTGTTCTCGCGAGCCTTCCTCTCTGCAGCGCGATACTTTTCTTCAGCGGTACCGAACTCAGCACCTGTTTTGGCCTCGTATACGGTAGCCAATCCAGCCTTCAGCATCTCCAATCCAACGTCTTTCCTGAAAAGCCATCTGCGCACAAAAACCTGGGCGACGATGCGATCGTATTGATCACGTCTGTATATGTAGGCGCGTACTCGGCGGTTATGGATCAGATTGATGAGCCATTCATGGGCCTCTTTCGAATACGGCTGAGCTTCTCGGCCCCAGTGTGCAAGTTCTGGAGCGTCGACTCCAGCAATCCGAATGTGTAGCTGGGTGCAAAGTTAGCTGTCGATAACGACGCGAAGTCCTACCGTGACGTCTAGTACCGTCTTGTTACAGAGCACTTACTGTCTGCCTGACGAGATCCTCTCTTTTTGATGGCACCTTCTTCCAGGGCAAGATACCCCACCCAGCTATCCTCCCACCTGGCGTGTGGAATAACCTGAAGTTGTCTGCATCTCCAACACTCGTGACTTGGCCAAATACACCTTTGCGGCGGTAGTAGTTTGGCTTGATGTGGTTGACGGTTGGGATGCGACGCAGATAGGTCTTGTAGAGCCGGACACCAGCAACCGTCGAGACTGTGAGCGCGATCGCCGGAATCAGGGTCCTCGGCTCATACAGCGCGCTTGACCAGTTATTTGGCTTCGCTGGCGCGATCCAGTCTGCGAGTCCACCTTTCTTTTGGTCATCGTCGTTGCGTGACCACGGCCATCGCATTGTTTATTATGCGAGGTCGTGAGGTGTGGGAAGTGAAGACAGAAGACGGTGTGGGCCTCGAATTGTTGGTAATTGGCGCAACCGCCTCGGTTTACATAGAAGGTTAGCGTCAACATGTATCACGTGATTCCCATGCGTTGTCAAGATTCCAGGACAAGGGCAGAGAATTTGGAGAGAACTGAAGATGTAAAGTGCATTTGATTAGACTATCAACCATTCTATCGTGTTCAGGTGCATTATCAGTATGTCAATGACATGACGCCCAGTTGGCTTTCGACCCGGGAGCTGCAAAAGTACGGTGCGCCACGATGAAAGCACACATTCTTCTAAGCGTCGCTGTGTGTTCGAGCGTTATATGTCCCAGAATCAGGGAAAGGCTGCGATGGGTTGTGCTAGCAGGATCTAGCAGCCCTGAGCCCATGGTGTAGCACCAGCTATTGTCTTAAAAGTATGCCATCGGCTTTGCAGGCCATCACAACCCACGCAGCACCAAGGATTTTGTGCAACGGATGACACGTAAGTCTGCGAGGGAGCAGAGGGGATCTCGAATAGTGCCTCGTAGACTACAACGCGCAGTCAAGATCGTCCAATTCCGATTTTAGAAACTCGGTAGGCCGCGATCCGCATAGACGATATGTATGATGAGTCTCGATTGGTGGATATGGTATAGTCGCAGTCTCGGATCTAGTACGGTGAAGGTTTGCGCAGGAATTTGTGAAAATAGGTGACTTCTAGGGTCCTGTATGTCTCATCAGTCGTGATCCAATCAGAGTGATATATACGTATTGAAGTACCTGCTATGTACAATAACATGTATTGTCTTTTCCCCTCATATCCTTCTATCGGTTTTCTCAGTCAGCTTCGCCAATCGAGCCTTACCTCAGGAGGCGCAATTGATGAATGCAGCCATGTACGGCATGATCGAAAGCCTCGAAGCCATGCTATCGCGACTGCTGAAGAAGTATGAGGAGATTGCATGCATGTATTGCGCAGTATTTAGACCCATGTGAAGGCCTTCGAGATGGAGATACGGATGTCTGGAGCTGGGTGTCGCAACGAGTTGTAGCACTGCTCGCTTCCGTAAGAGCGGGGTCAGCATTGCAGCTATCGGCGCTTCCTGGATGCCAAGCTACACATTAACATTGAGAGAGTATGCGCAAGTCCACCATGGCCATGATGGAGGGCAGATGGGCGCCTCGAGGTGGGCGGGAGAGGGATGAAGTCAGGAATGACGGGGTTGGCTTGGACGGAGTTTGCCTAGGTGGGTATGGCGCGTTTCTTTTCGTGCCTCGACCTCCAACTCTGGGCATCAGGTCTATCGTCTACTTGCACCCTGCCACCATCGCTACAACTTCAACCGAACCCCTCATGTTTTCGCAATAACTCTCACTCATTACACGTTCTGACATTCGTAGTGGAATTGTGGCCAACTACTGACTGCGGCCCGTAGCCGCTTCCTCGTCAGGTGCCTCCCATTCCCTCCCCGGGTCTCCATCAGCATGTTCTCCATCGCATCCACAGCCGATCCCACCGCACTCGATGACGGCACGTATCTCTTCGACCAAACTCACGATGATCTCCTATCGTTGCCAATGTCTAATGATAGCATACATCTGAAAGGCGGCATCGCACCTATACCTGGGTTTAGCAACCTGGGCTACGGCCGCGAATCGAGTGCGTCGTCCGTGCAATACGGCGATTCTCGCGATACATCAGAACTGGGCACAAGTCACGAAGGGGAGGAGTCTACTCCAGGTGCATTCGTTAATGGATATGGAGCCAACTATACACCTTCGCCACTGCAAAAACCATTCACACCAAACTCAGGCATCAACGGCCTGACTAATATCCCGAACAAACATTCATCGCATCTGAAGGGCAGCGGTTCGCATGCGATTGTCAACGGAAACGACGCGAAACCTCACTCATCATTGAAAGACCATCGAAGGGACGCAGCGTTTACGACAAGAACACCACAGAGCCTGAGTCGCACATCACATGCATCTTCAACCCCCGAGCTTCCGCAGTCACACGAGCAGCCGAAGAAGCATCGAAGGACAAACTCTCTTCCGGCGAAAGGAAAGGTCATTGAGATGAAGGCGAATTCAAGCATACCTGCAGAGCTTTCCTGGCCAGAGTTTGGTAGGCAATGTATCCTAGCAGCAGAGAACAGTCGGCTCAACCCATTCACTCTACATCCTGCTGAGTACGAGCTATTACGAGATCATGTAACTCACGCCCAGGTTACCATCTACCTAAACATCAGGAACGCGATACTTCGCTTGTGGCATCGCAATCCTCTGGTATACGTCTCTCTCGAAGAAGCGGCGGGATGCGCTCGTGACAAGCGTTATTTTGGCCTCGCGAAGGTGGCACACTTGTGGCTCATGAGGAACGGATACATCAACTTCGGCTGCGCTGAGGTGCCTAATACTACTGGTACACTACCCAAGTCGAAAGCCAAGGTCGCGCGAAGACGGACCATAATCGTGGTGGGTGCGGGTATGTCAGGGTTAGGATGCGCTCGCCATCTGGAAGGACTGTTCGCCCAGCTTGGTGATCAGTTGACAGAAGCAGGAGAACTGCCACCTAAGATTACTGTCCTTGAAGCTCGCCCACGCGTTGGAGGCCGTGTCTATTCACACCCTTTTCTCAAGCAGTCCGGCTCTACACTCCCGCCTGGGCATCGCTGTACAGCTGAGATGGGCGCTCAGATCGTTACTGGATTCGAACACGGCAACCCGTTGAATTCGATCATCCGAGGTCAGCTCGGCATACCCTACCACGGTCTTCGCGACAACACTATACTCTACGACTACGATGGCACGGTTGTAGAGAGGGGTCAAGACATCTTGGTGGAGAAGCTATACAACGACGTCCTCGAACGAGCGGCAGCATACCGAAACAAGCCAGCAGCTCATAGGACAGTAGAAGGTGATCGTGACCTGATGGCCTTTGGCCGTGAGCCAGCTGATGCTGGTGGTCCTACCGTCGCCGAATTAGAACACTCCGATGCTCCCCTTTCCGCAAACGCTGCGAGCACCGCGTCGATGAAGCAAGAAAAACCGACAACAGGGGTGGAGAAGCTAGCTGGTAGGGCGTACCAACTCAGCGCTGGCTTCAACCCGGATGTCACAGCAGCTGACACGGTGCAAAGTATGGGTTGGGAACTCAAAGCAGGTGCATTAGGGACGCAGTCTTTAGATCTTGACACGATTGCGAAAGCGTCCCAGTATCCCACACTTGGGCAGACAATGGACGAAGGTCTTCTTCAATACCAATCGCTTGTCGATCTGAAGCCTAGAGACATGCGTCTGTTGAACTGGCATCACGCTAATCTCGAATATGCGAATGCAGTAAGCGTCAACCAGCTCAGTCTGAGCGGCTGGGATCAGGACATCGGCAATGAGTTCGAGGGCGAGCACAGCGAGGTGATTGGAGGATATCAACAAGTTCCGCGCGGCCTCTGGCAATGTCCCAGTCAGCTTAACGTCCGTTTCAACACCCCTATCAAAGCCGTTCATTACAACATCGAGGAGCAGCATCTAGGCAAAGCTGTCAAGATTGAGTGCACGAACGGCGATTTTTACGAGGCCGACCAGGTTGTTTTGACAACCCCACTGGGAGTGCTGAAGTCCGGGTCAATCAAGTTCGAGCCTCCTCTACCTGACTGGAAGCAGGACGTTATCGAACGAATGGGTTTCGGTCTCCTCAACAAGGTCAGTTCAACTATGAGACGATTGCTACCCTTTCTAATAATGTGCATAGATTGTTCTCGTGTACGAAAAGGCCTTCTGGGAGCCAGACCGAGACATGTTCGGCCTGCTCAACAAAGCAGAAGAGGAAGCCAGCATGCGACCCGAAGACTACTCTGCGAAACGCGGACGATTCTATCTCTTCTGGAACTGTATCAAAACAAGCGGAAAGCCAGTGTTGATAGCGCTGATGGCAGGCGACGCTGCTCACTACGCCGAAGCGACATCGAACGATCAGCTCGTTAAAGAGGTCACGGACCGGCTCGACGCGATGTTCGCACCGAACCACGTTCCACTCCCAACAGAAGCGATAGTGACGCGTTGGAAGAAAGATCCGTTCGCCCGCGGCAGCTATTCATACGTCGGGCCACAGACACAAGCAGGAGACTACGATATCATGGCGCGACCCCATGGCCCACTACATTTCGCAGGAGAAGCGACTTGTGGTACACATCCCGCAACGGTGCACGGCGCTTACCTGTCAGGCCTTCGGGTTGCTGCGGAGGTTGCTGAGACAATTTTCGGACCTATCAGAATACCCAGCCCACTTGTTGAAAAGAAAGTGGTCAAGATCGAACAGTCGCCAGGGACACCCAGCGTCGAGACGAAACGCCGATTCGAGCCTGCCGTTCCAGCATCAACGTCGAAGTCGAGAGACAACAAATCTGGGCGGATACAACGCGACGAAGACTATGAAGCTGCCATTATAGGGGCTATATTGGAACAGATTGGTGAACGGCCAATCAAGCCAGGACGTACGGGCGTCAACCCGTTCCTGCTTTTCACCAAAGACTTCTGGTACATCTGCAAGCAGGAGTGCGATGACGCCCACAAAGCTAGGACAGGCAATCCTGAAGCCAAAGCACCGAAGCAAGAGATCCGTAATGCTGTGGGCTTACGGTGGCGCACGGCAGAGCAAGAAGTCAAGCAGCCCTACCTCGACCAAGCCAGCAACGCACGAGACGACGCGACGGCAAGCACAGCAGATTTCAAGGAGCGCGTAGACACGTGGGACAAAGAAGCCGCACGCATACGGCGCGAGTACATCCAGGCCAACCCGCCAGAGGGTGGAAACGAGGAGCTCATTCTTAACAGCCGCACAGCTATCGAGCTGGGAGCCGGCAAGCGATTGCGGAGACTCTAAGTCCTGTTTTGTTGTATTATTCATGTGTCATATTTGTGTTCCGTGGGCTATCAGCATTTGGAGGAGTTGAGATGGAGTTCGGGTAAAAGGGTGGCTGAGATTCTCGCGTGGCTATTTTCAACGGCAGGCGCACAACAATGCACACCCGCCTTGGGCATTTTCGTGAGGCAAGTGTATGTAGTACGTGTATACTCCTTGTAATTCGTCGTCCACAGCGACAAAGGTAGAAATGTAGTGAGTAATACGGAACTAACATGAACGCATGACTGCCGCACACCCATTCGGACCCACCATGGATACCCTGTCGTCGAAGCTGATATGCGGGGGATGTGTGCCGTGCTGCATAAGACGGGAGGGTGCCCGCCTGCTATTGAATCATGTGCATGGCCCCGGCAATATGTTGAGATGGGTGTCAGTGTTGGACTTTGAGTGTAGTTGACAGCGACTTGGCGGGGGTGAAATTCTGGACTGTCAGGCCTGGTGTCGTCATGCTCTGGACTTTTGCAGTGCATGTCACAACCACAGTATGGGAAGACGCTAGAAGCAGTTCCCTCGTCCCCCAATGACGATCGCTCTCTGGCAGCCGACAAGCGCCACGGTTGCTTGCCAGTCTTGTTCTAGAAGCGCGGCGCATGACTGGTGGGAGTTTAGCCTCGATGCAGGCGGCTGAGCGTCTTGTCCATCAGGCACACCGTCGGCGGGCTGGGCAGCGTGCCGTTGAGGGTCAGCGTGTCGCGATGGGGGCATCAGCATCAGATGTTCTATGCATGTTCTTCGGTATCGCGCCCCACCGCGTGGGTGATACAATTCGCTGGCTGGGACAGCATTGGATGGAACGGCTGGCTTCAGCGCGTTAGTCCGAGGCGGTTCCTCGTTGGCGGGGTCGCGTGTGCCAGGTCGTGGGGATCTCTCGGCATCGGCCTCTCTTATGGCGCCTCTAGTCGCGTTAGCTATCCCAAAGAGCCATGCCTCGCCTCGCCTTGGTCCGTCTTCCGGCTCTGCTTCCCCAACGTGCCAGCCTTCCAAGCCGCTGTGCGTGAATTGCATCCTTCACGCCTCGTACCTCTGCCGGCCTCCATGTTGCCCTTCGCTCCTTCCACAACCCTGGGCCCGCACCCAGTAGCACCTTCCCCAGCCCGTTCGCACCACGACCGTGCCCACATCGCCTGAAGTGCTGTCGCATTAGCCCTCGTCCGCCTGCACCCCACCCTTTCCCTGCGCACGATACCCCAGCCATGAGTTCCTTTTTCAGTCGCATCAAGTCCGGTGCTGTGAGTCGCGCGTTCATCGGCAATGGCTGGCCCTGACTGACATACCATAGCCGCCCTTGAGCCCAGCGACCGGCAGCATACCCGTCAGGAAAGACCCCAACGCGCCCGAGGTGACGCCGCTGGAGAAGCTGCTGCTCAACGCGGGCCCTCTGCGCGGCGACGGCAGCGACAAGTTCTTCGGCTTTGAGAATGTAAGTCTGGCTACGTAACCGCCCTTCGCGAGCCGCCTGCTGACTACGCTATGCTCTAGTTTGGAAGCACATGGTATGTACACGTCTCGTCCACTCCCGTCCCGACACATACTGACTGCCCGCCAGTTACTGCAACTCGATAGTACAGTGTCTATACTACTCAGTGCCCTTTCGAGAACAGGTCATCAACTTCCCCGCGCGCTCACCCCCAGAAGCCCTCGAGAGGCCCACGTCAGGCCCCCTCAAACTCAACACAAATCTCCCAAATGGCCAGAGTACAGCCCTCTCGCCCACGGGGCGCACCTCACTCTCTAGCCCCAATGCCAAAAGTCCCGCAAAACCAGCTACCACGCCAGGCGCGACGAACCAACCCCCAGGCACCAAGCCAGAGGATAACAAAGACTCGCCAGAGTACAAGAAGAAGCAGGCTCTGGCGGCCGGTCCGGTTCTGCAGATGGACTACGAGAACGCAAACGCATACGGCATGAACGAATCGCTATTTTCATCGCTGAAAGATATATTCGAGGCCGTCATAGCACACAGATCACGCATAGGCGTCGTCAGCCCACACAAACTTCTCGAGATATTGCGGCGGGACAATGAGATGTTCCGGACACCTATGCACCAGGATGCACACGAGTTCCTGAACTTACTGCTGAACGAGGTCGTAGATAATGTCGAGAATTACTCCAAGAGTCGCCCAGCCCAAGTGGAAGAGATAACCGAGGACGGCGAGACTGTAACGGATGGCCAAGTAGTGACCGCGCGGAACTCGGTGGCCTCTGCCAAGTCAAACTCTGGGTGGGTACACGAGCTGTTTGAAGGCACATTAACGTCCGAAACACGATGCCTCACATGCGAAAACACATCACAGCGAGACGAGGCATTCCTGGACCTGTCTGTCGATCTGGAACAGCACTCGTCAGTGACGAGCTGTTTGCGCAAATTCTCAGAAGAGGAGATGTTGTGTGAACGGAACAAATTTCATTGCGACAACTGTGGAGGCCTGCAAGAGGCGGAAAAGAGGATGAAGATCAAGCGATTGCCCAAAATCCTGGCCTTGCATCTCAAGCGTTTTAAGTATACAGAGGATCTCCAGCGCCTGCAAAAGCTCTTCCACCGCGTCGTATACCCCTTCTACCTCCGGCTGTTCAACACCACCGATGAAGCAGAAGACCCAGACAGACTATACGAGCTATATGCAGTTGTGGTTCACATAGGAGGTGGACCCTATCATGGTCACTACGTATCCATCATCAAGACGCAAGATCGAGGCTGGCTATTGTTTGACGACGAGATGGTTGAACCGGTAGACAAGGCCTACGTCAGGAACTTTTTCGGTGGAGAGAATGTGCTCGCTTGTGCATACGTCTTGTTTTACCAGGAGACAACAGAAGAAGCTATGATGAAGGAACAGGAAGCCGACGCTCTCGCCGAAGCAGAGCAAGCTGCCAAGATGGCACAGGAAGAAGTCACGACACCGAAAGCGAACGGGGTCAACGGCCAGTCATATCATACCTTCCACAACGCGACCACCCCCACGATGGAAGAGGCCGACAAATTCGCGAGCCTCGACCATGCAGCTACCGCCCCACCGCTTGCACAGGTTCAAACGAACACCGACCATCACCCAGTCGAACATACCACAACTCAGGTTCCCGTACTCGCTGCGCGTAAAAGTAATCTCGGGCTCTTCGGTAAGAGCAAAGAAGAGAAGGAACGCAAGGCCCAGGAGAAGGCCCAGGAGAAGGAGCTTGAGAGGCAAGCGAGGGAAAAGCGCAAAGAGATGGAAATACAACGGCGCGAAAACTACCGCAAACAAGAAGATGACCTTCGTGCAGCACTCGAAGCCAGCAAAACATCAGCAGCTGAAGAAGAGAAGAAGCGCGTCGCGAGTGGGGAGGTTGTACCGCCACTTCCAAGTGCGGTCGGGGAGAAGGACAAGGCTGCGAATGGCTTTGGCAGCGTTAAGGGTATGAGCGGATTGAGTCGTTTTAGGCACACATCAATGAGTCTCAAAGCCAAACCCAAATTCTGGTCCGGAGGCAAGGACAAGCACGACGGCACGACAGACGAGCACAACCCGCCCGATACACCCACCACCGACACCGACAAGGACGGCAAGAACCGCTTCAGTTTAGGGCGGAAGAAGAGCACGTTCAAGTTCTAGGAGACTTGAAATGCCGGGCCGCAAAACGAGTGTCGTTGATTGTTGCATTGTTAGCTTTGGATCCAACAATTTCCCCTGTTGGAGTCTCTTCTAAGCGGATGAGGACGAAAACCCAAAGCGTCGGCGGTGCATTGCATAGTTACCTTTTTCTTTCCTCTCGCAGTCTCTCTCTATGTCTTGTTCACTTGACGATGGCGTTGTAATTACCATCCCCCACGGATTGGGCGGGTGTATTGTGCATATTCAATCTTCGGAATACCGTTGTAGCGTACTCGTTTGAGCAAAACTGCGAGTCCATGGCGACGACAAGAATAGCGAATTATACTGTTTCTCGAGCTGCTGTGACCTCTTCGTTGCTATCGTTTCGATATCTGTTACGAGTCTATTGGGTTGGGTTATGCACGGTGGGGGTGTTCACTTTGTACCTCGACAGTGCTGTGCTTGGCCGGTGATATCAAAACGACTTTGCATGCGGGCTATCATTTGACAGGGTGAGTTTTCGAGATGTTTGTTTCTCGTAACTTCCAGAAATCATCTACTCTTACGACGCGGAGGACATGCCTGAAAGTCTCAAAAGGGTTGTTGTGGCTTAACAGGCTGTAGACAAGTACACAAAGATGGCTCAAATCGTGTCGAAACATAAGAGCTTCTGTGCAGCGAGAGAGGTAATAACAAGGTGACAGGGCCTCAAGTCAGGACAAGACCTGAGCTCACATTGGAGGAGTTGCTCTTACTGGAGATAAGTACGTTGGTCATCATTCGCAGAGCAAATTTATACATACAAATGCCTTCAGATGGTCGTCCAGCAAGAACGGCTTGTTCTTACATCGAGTCTGAGCAACTTTCGAAAGTGTCCAAAAGACATGGCAACCGCATGCTAGAACAGAATATGCTTGAAGCGATGATTATTGTGAAAGAATTGGGTCCAAATTATATTTGATATAGTAACCATATCCATCAGTGCCGAAAGAAGAGAAGCTTGCATCTGCTTTTTTCCTCCGCAGATTAGACTAGAAAAGTCGAAACGCAGACACTCTTCCGCAATGGACCGACGCCCTCGATGCCACCTTTATAAACGCCCGCTACTCAATGTTTGCCGCAACCCGCTATACTGATACACCACGCACGCGTACAATCTGCACCACACGTGAACACAATCGACCACCGTCTATGAGAACTTCCACCGGTTACCACAGTTCATGCACTCGCAGAACGTAGTCATAGGTTCATCAGCGGACCTAGTCTGTGCTTGACTGTAGCTGACCATCTTCTGCTTGCACTTTCCGCACTGGAACTCCTTGGAGATGGCCTTTTCGACTTGTGCAACCATGGCTTGGTTCATGTTGAGCTTTTCCAACTCCTCGTCCTCTTTTTTGCGCGCATCCGATTTCATTTCGTCGTGTGTCATGACGACAAACTGCTTGGCGGGTATATCACCGCTGAATACGCGCCTGCGGAGTTGAGGGTTCGATTTGTTCTTGAGGTTCTGGAAGAGAGAGCGCATCTTTTCCTTGTAGGTATTGTTTACGCTACCTGCGTTACTGTAGGCGGCGGCTTCGACTTGCTTTGCGACACCGAGAATCTCGTCCGGCACTGCGCATGTCAGTCAAGTACAGGGTACACCATATGCTCGAACTTACTCGCTTCACTCATGAAGGCCAGGCCATCGTACATCAGCCTTACGCAGTTGTCGCGTGCCTCGTCCCCAGTAACCTGGTAATTGACCTTGTCGGTCTTGTGATTGCGCTTGTCGGCGGCGACGTCGTGCTTCTTCTTGGCCAGGCTGGGGGCTGGTGACGCAGTCCCTGAGGGTGGAGGAGCTGGCGAAGATGCTGCACCTCCGTTCGCGGCTGCTTTTGCGGGACCATTCATCTTGGGTGGCTGCTTCTTCTTGACCTCGTCCCTCCACTTTGCTACCAGTTCTGTCGCCAGCTTTTGTACAGCCGGGTCCTTGTGCGATCGCAGACGATTGATGGTGACACCAATGCGGGTTGAGCGCAAGAGATCCTCGGTCGCTTGCACACCCGTCTTCAAGTCGTTGAGCAGCTTGATTACAGAAGCGCTTGGCTCGCCCTCGGCCACGGCTTTTCCGATGGCCTTGCCACGGAGCTCAATCTCTTTGGCGTCCATTGCCATAGTTCAGGCAGCAATCCTCGAGGTTTGGTATACACCGGGCGCAAGATTGTTGTTGTCTTGGTAAAACCGTCGACGATGTTTGTGAAGTCGCAAACACAGTAGGATGGGCCTGCTGCTTGGGTGATTGGGAGAGATTCTGTCGCTGTCACGCGGGCAAGGTCTCTCTGATTTGTTGTTGCGACTGAGAGGTCGGAGGTTCGGCGCGGGGTGCTTGAGCGCGTCTGGAGCAGGTATACGCGACGTTGGTAAGCGGAAGTTGTCGGCGACTGCACAGGCGACAGATGGCAGCTAGGCGGGAGGAGGGAAGGAGGTGTGGTGCGATGGCATCGTTGCTCGAGATCTAGAAGTTGCGTTTGCTGAAGAGGCCCGAGCTCAGCAACGCTAGCCTCCGCGTTCACCCAAAGGCAACCGCGACCGTTTACCTGGGATCTACCGGACTAGGGACCGACGACAATTGCTGCAGCCGCGAACCTCTACCTTCGGAATCACCAAAAGCCAACATCCGAAGTATCACTATGGCCGAAAACGCGGCGCCAGGAAGCGCAAACAACACGGGCGCAGACAGCTCGCGCGGAATGCCCTACTACGAGAGACTGCGACGCGACTTGCGCGAATCGCTCAACAAGAAGCGCATCATCGACAACAGTCTGGTCAGTACAGCCAATGACGCGTTGTGAACCTGTGTGTTGACTTTCTATGGCAGCTGCAACTAGAGGACAACATCCTCCGAGTCGAGACGCAGTACCTCGAAGAGACGAGCGCCGGAAACATTATCAAGGGCTTCGACAACTACATCAAGGGAGCGGCCACCACCACGACAGCAGGAGGAGCAGGCACCGCGACCAGACGGAAAGCGCCCATCAGTGATGCAGACCGGATATTCAGTCGGAGCTCTACAAGCTTCCTGAGGGTACGTGGAGAGATACCGCGCTTGCTCATGGACAGCCAGAGAATTGATGCTGACTGCACTCCAGGAATCCTCCACACCGGGCTCCGCGACGCCGTCGCACGCTCCTACCCCGACTTCGTCCTTCCCTACGCGCGAATCGAGCCAACCTACAAACGGGGCGAGGCCAGGAGGGAGCAAGAAGAAGAAGGCAGCCGACGACGACGACGATGACGGCAACAAGACGAAGCGACAGAAAATTTCCTACGGACGCGAGTGAGCACCGATCCCAAGACTCCGACACCGCTCGCCTCGAAAGCGGCGGGATACAAGAATCCTGAAATTACAAAAGAGTACCAAAGTTTCTCTAGGCGAGCAATTTGCTCGAGAGGACGATTGCGCGTCCTATGGGTCCCGAGACACGGAATCTAACACGCCTACCAACAAAATAGGAAGGCACAAAAGCATCGGTTAGGCACCCGGAGCTGCGCGTGTTCAGCGTGTGGATACCTTACAACAGGCGCGGGAGGGCTGAAACTGTCGTAGATCAGACTTGGGAACGCGGGGTTGGTTCAATCTCGATATGAGACCCACTTTAGGGAGGATAACGTACTACACCACCAGAGGACGACAACGCATCTGTGCTGACTAGCTGGCGTCGTAGTGGAGATTACCTGATGCTTGAATTTGGTGCTTGCTTCGAGGAATGGCGGTGGAGTTCGGCTTGGCATTGTGTTACGCGCAAGCCGTGTTTGTAGCCTCTGCTGGCGGCTTCGTCTCTGCGAAGCGGATTTCATGCTTGACGAGGGTTAGCATAGTGGATCACGAAGTAGAATGCAAAGTGCAAGTCCTGCTTGTCGCAGCCAGAGATTGTGAAGGATTCATAGTACATCATCTGGGGATAGCGGTAGCGAATGAGCTTTTCGAACCTGCTTCCCTCAATTCTTCATGACATGGTAGCACCGCAATGTGTAGTGAAGATGAGGCGTATGGTCATATTCCTACCATCCTTGTTGTTAACCGCTGCAGAGACCCTTCTTTCCGTCAAGATCAAGAATAGCAAGGGCATTAATGCATGCAATCCCAAGCCTCATATGGTTTTTTCAGGCGGCGTAGACACGACCAGGATTGAGATTATACTACCAGCCATGGTCGCTTAACATGAGACGGCTGCGCAGGAAGTGCATGCTGGTAGGCTGTGGACTTCGCATCCTGGAATATCATGGTATGCGGAACTATAACCCAACGACACCAGTTCGCTTCAGCTAAGGCACTCCGCCCTCGCTTCGTGAGCGTGTCGGTGCATGGTACTACTTAGAGTCGCGATCGTCGGAGATTAGGATAGCAAAGCGAAAGGGTGTCTCCCTTACGAACCAACGGTCGAAAACGCAACACTGGCTTGCATGATGGCTTGCAATTCCGTGTGGTGGCCACAAGGTTTGCGGTTTCAAAGGCCGACCGAAATAGAGGAGCCGGAGCGGGTGGCGAAAAGACAGGTGTTTAGGACCATGGCGGAGATACTTTGTCCTGAGTGGTGGTTCGGCGGTATTGCAAGCTAGATTACAGCGCACTCTCCGGGCACCAACAGGCGCGGCGGAAACCAGTAGCAAGCGGAGCGAAAGAGTCACGCACTCGCCTCGTCACGTTCTCGTAACGCGATATGTTGCCTCAAGTTTCGCGATGCTGTAAGTCGTCGCGTCCCTACGACGATCTTTACTCGAAAAATGGCACGACTCTACAGCCGTCAGGCACACTACGATCTCATCTCAGGCTGCTTTCGGACCGTCTTCAGCGCGTGACCCACTGTTACAAGCGAGCATCGTGATTGGCACTCCCTGCAAAGCAGAGAAAATAAAAAGTCCCGCAGCCGACGCGACGCAGAGAGAAAGCCCGACGTCAGCAGCTATGGGGCTTTGCGCTTTCGAGTGAAACAAGTGACATCGTTGCGTCCCACTCAGCCTCGTACGCAACTCCGACT